CGATGCCGAATTCGATTCGATCCCACATTCCACCAATCTAGACTGAAGCAAAGAAAGTAAGCAGACGTAAGACCTATCATGATCCTATTTGTCATAATTTAATAAGGTGAAGACCAAGTAGGGCATTCCAGTTTAAATTGCCACAGTTGTGTCTGGCAAGTTTGAAATGTATCGAATTTCCTGCTAAATCCGATTGTAATTCTGGGTATAAACTATTTATAACTTAGTCTATTTAACTTTGGTGTATTAGCATTATTACCTAATACCTACATTCCAAAGTTATATTTGATATAGTTACCTACTAGTAAGTAGTAATAAATATAATATCTATATTAATAATTTCGTCAAGGGGTACGGTAGACTGGATCGAAACCTTATATGAATAACAAAGCATAAAAAAATATCGATTTTGAGTCGACAACATATATCCGCAAAATTCGGATAATAGAGAATTTCGTTAAATTCCGATGGCACTGACAAACAATTTCAAACAAACCGCTGTCGCCATCTTTAGTAGTTCACTATCCACTCACTATGCGATCAGCGCCAAAACCTTACTACCTCTTTGCTGGGTTGTCATCGATCCATAAATAAATGGAGATCAGTGCGTTTCGCTATTTTTATGATACACTCTTTGTTATGTGTTTTTTCTTTCAATCTTATATTGGCCGATTCAACCACAGAAAAAGAATATTAGCCACAACCATAAAAGTTGAAGTTCAAATGACAATGTCATTTAGTTTCGCACAGTGTTCGACAGTCCATCCCAAAAAAAAAAAAAAAAATCTTTGGGCGTAAAAACCATTTTCAATTACGAGAGAGTTTTACATCCTGGCTTAAAAAAATGTATGGTTGATACATCTTAGCAAAAATACCAAAAACAAGCGTTCGGTTTTTACATCGTTTATAAGGTATTTATTTATCTTTTAGGCTATAGTTTTTTGGGGCGTATAAACATTTTTTTAGCGAATTTCAATATATCGAATATACAGCTCGATAGAGAAAAAAATTCTGATTAAAATGGTATATATAACTCAATTTGGCCAAAATGGTTTATACGACAATTGAACCTGAAGGTGTCGATATAGTTGAACGATGGTAGCGCCCCCCTGTCATTGAGTTTGGTGGGACAGTTCAGCGTGGGTCATCTATAACAGAATCTTACTCGCCAGTGGTAACCCTTCATTACTGACAGTCTCTAGAATAGAGTTAGTTAATGTACTTATTATTATTCTGTGGTTATATAAACATTGACCTCATTTTAAGCCTTGTCACAATTTTTTTGATACCACGTTTTATATTTTTATATCTTAATTTAACTACAGAAATAAATTGCCTGAATTTGTGTTCCCAGACCTCAAAGTAAAGATATCAATACTTATGTAAAAACTTAAAAAGGCTACTGCGACACAAGCTATGCTTAGTGCAGAAGCCACTAGTTATATTATAAGAATATTTTCGTACTAAGATTTATTGGCAATAAAAATTTTATTAAAAAAAAAACCTAAATAACGCATTTTTATTCCTTTTTAGTTTTCTTTGTTTTTTTAAAGCTAAATGAAGTCAGTTTAAGTTTTATTGAATTTTATTTTTTGCGATATTTTTTTTTAAATAATTTGTAGCTTCTCTTTAAAACAATGTTGCCTACAGTGATCATATGAAACACTTGAATAAAGAAATAACAACAAAATGCATTATCATTGTAAAAAAAAACAATAATAAATTATGACCTACATTCAAAGCAAAATGCTTGGAATTAAGTGAATGCTTCTTCATACAGAAGAAAGATTTTTAAAGTTTTAACGAAAAAACTAAAAAATTTCCTAATCGATTTTCAAGATTATTTCAAGAAAAACAGAAAAAAAATATCCCAAAGTATTAAGCTTATTAGCATTCCAAAATTGTTTAAATAATTAGGTCTAGTTTGTTCCTGAAATTAAGGGTTTTGAGCAAATACGACGAAAAACACTTTTGTTACATGAGAGTTAAATTAATTTTATTCTGTTTTTATTAGTGTTGCTATAGCGGCAATAGAAATTAAATACTAACATCATCTGCAAATTTAACTATCTGGCAACTACGGGACTATTCCCACCGCTGCAACTCCTGTGTAGCCAGGATCTACAGCTTGACCGCCAATAAAAACCAACCAGTGAAGGTTGTTTGTCCCGGGGGAAAGTTAAACTGTCGTTGGACCCGCAATGAAATTAATCAGTTTAATGCCCGTTTTCACCATCAATCCCTATTTTTAAGTGAGCCCTTTGAAAACAAAATTCCTGTTGTATTACCATAGTCACTTAGAAATTAGGGATTGATGGTGAAAACGGGCATTACTTTGGGTACGGAGTCGGAATTCTAAAATAAATCCGGCTGGAACCCCGTTTTTGAGGTACGGAACCCTGTAAGCAACTCATTAATTTTATTAACTACCGTCATACCGTCACCTGCTGTTATCTCCCTTTCGGTTTCACAGTAAGTTAAATATTGGGTTACATTGTTTTCTACTATTTGACTTACCTGCTCTTTTACTTAGTAACCAACCAGCTGTATTTAATCTCTTCACACTTCATAATAATATTTCTTTTGTATTAAAAAAAACAATTTCGATATTTTGTAAGATTTAATTTTTTTTTATGCATAACAAGGCAGGTATTTGACCACAATCGCACCTGATGTTAAGCGGGATGCAGTCTAGGATGGTACATATCTGCCCTGTAAGTGCCTATTCACTCTCGCCTTGAAAAGGCCCGGATTATAGTCTTCGGGAAAGACAGCAGCAGGCAACGAATTCCAGTCCCTAGCTGTTCGCATTATAAAAGAGTCATCGAAACGCTTAGTGCGAGCTGGTGGAATGTCATTGGGATCCACACTGCCTTTTATACTGCTAGGTGGTGCATCAATCGTCGGCTGTCTATCGCATTACAAATGGCAGTAATGTGACGAATGTGTTGTGGTTTTGACAGGTCTTAAATGTCAATTGACTATGGTGTCAGGGTGTCAAATAAGTTACCTACTTAGGCCCAGTGGGTCTAGACAAAGTGCAAATTATAATCGCAAACCAGTCGAAAAGCCCCTTTTTTGTATGGAGTTTTGACGGATTCGATTTTCGATTCGATCAAAAAGTGCGTTTTGTCTAGGGGGGCAGTTTTTTGATTCGTAGTTAAAATAACCAATAGTTAAATTTGACAGATGTCAAATGACAAGTGGTTAAATATCAGAGAAAAATGTTTTTCGAACAATGGTTAACTTGACTTTTAGTACATTTTTTAACTATTAGTTTACATTTTGTTAATATTTAACCTTTAACTGGTGACCTGAAGTCAACAGTGCGTATTTGGTGAGGTGACGTTTAAGAGACGTCAAAGAAAAACTTATGTATAAAAAAATTGGCTAACGTAAAATAAGTTTGAGGCCAAGAATTTAGTAACTTATAAAGTTGTCCAAATAATATAAAAACATGGTTTAAAAAAACATTAGTTTTTGGTACAAAATCAGTCTTAATTTGAGCAAGGTACTTTTCATTAAAAATAAAGTTAAGACACCTAAAATGGGCATACTAGCCCCCAGAATACACTTTGGGACCTTCCTAATCATCATTTTTAGATAGTTTAGATACTAATCAACAAAACTTAGCAGGTAAAGCTATCCTAAGATAAGAAATTAAAAAAACTACAATCATCAAACATCACTTACTAGAAACGTTCACGTCTACAGACATCACAATTTTTCTTGCAGCAATTTAGGCACATAGGTTTATCATAATGAGTTCTAGTGAACCTAGTACATTTTATTACATGGCTAAGACAAATGGCACATGTTCTTTTAACCCCAGGATGGTTTTGGGACGAGGCAGAAGTCGGTCTAGGTGGTAATTCATCAACACCAACTGAACGCAGCTCGCGGAGTAGGGTAGTCATTATAAGGCACGAGTTTCAATTGAGGTATAACTAAAGAGCTATCCAATGATAATAAGAAGCTGCCTCTAGTTAATTTGTTAGTATTGTCGCAATCACTGTTTAAGACATAAGATATTATTACTGAAAAATATCGACTGAGCTAAGCTATAGAATATGATTATACATAGGCCAATAAGGATGTTGAATAGTTGAAACACTTTGTTCCATCTCATCCATCAACCCCTCCTATTTAGTCAGGACACTGTTATTCAATGGTGGAGGTGTTGATTTCATCTCCAGATTGCTCAGATTTGGTAACATGCAGACTTTCTAAAACGAAGTCAGGATCGCCTATATCGTCGTCAAAACTACTACACTCGTCGTCATTCTCTGTTAGAAGCTCCTGTATTATACCTCGCTGACTAAGAACCCTTCTTCGTTTGGCAGACCTCTTTTGTTTATCGTGAGACATTCTATAAAAGATAATAACAAAACATTACCACCGCTGTGACGTCCCTCAAACACTATGAAGTTGTGTAAACTAAAAGTGAGGTGACGAACAACAGACACATAGGTAAAATACACATTAGCACTGACCTGACGTCTGTGAGACGGCGAAAGCTCCACACAGGCAACACAGGAGACCCTGAGCTCGTGCGCCTCCTACTGAGCGAAGGTGTATGGCAAACGCGGAAGGTACCAAAACGCACGGGGAGAAGCGACAAAAAGGCGGGGAGATAAATCAAAAAAACGAAACGCGGTGTCTGAGAGACGGGCAGGTCACCAGTTAAAGGTTAACCATTAGTAGCAAAATTTAACAATTAGTTATTTTAACTATGAATCAAAAAACTGGGCCTTAGGCTGAGATGCACCACCTAAAACTTTAACGAAAACCGGCGTTTTTTGGATACAAAATACATGGAGTTTGACAGTGACATTGACTTATTATGACGTAACAGCAGAGCATACAAATCTGAAGTCTCATTGACGTTGGACGTCTCAAAAAGTGTCAAAAACACGCCAGGCACTGACTTAGTTAGCCGCTATACCCTCAGATCATTGATACCTATAATAGGGTTGTGTTACAGAAAAGATAACAAAAAATCTATTGCTTTATTTTTATTTCACTACACAGTTATGATCGCAGAAACATTATTTTATAGATAATTCATAATTATTTTTATAGCTTATCGGGGTAACATGCAAAATCTTTCGCATTCTTGGTAGGTCTTGAAGTTGTTGTTATTGCCTCCACAGCCGCCATAGACAAACTCCTGGCATCCGTGCTCTCTGGTGTACGCGTATCTGTAATAAAAAAATAATTGAAAAAAAATATTGAGTGGGGTTTGCTCACTCTATTTAATCTATGGAGACTTCTTGGCGTGAAGCGTCAAATTTTTTGGCGGAAAAGTGAAGCGTTGTGTTTCTGTATTTAATTTATTATTGACTGACTCACTCATCACGAAATCTCAGAAACTACAAGTGCTAATAGTCTCAAATTTTGCATGGGGGTTCCTTTTAGAACGTAGGTTGCTCACTAAGACAGGATTTTCCAAAATTCAACTCCTGAGGTGAGGGGGTAAAAAAAACGGGATCCGCTAGTTAGTAAATTATTATATTAAGCAACGACGTCCACCCACAAGGTGGACCGACGACCTGATAAAGGTAGCAGGAAGGCGCTGGATGCAGGCCGCTACCAACCGTGCGATGTGGAAGTCATTGGGGGAGGCCTATGTTTAGCAGTCAAGTGGATGTCCTATGGTTGAAATGATGATGATGATGATGATGATGGAGCAATATTGGATTATTCCATTTTAGTGTTCGTTAACGAGTGTAGGCAAATAAATTGTGCAACATGACTTCAAGTTCTTTCAAGAAGTCCGCGCTTGGCGGGAAAGTGAAACGCCTTTTAGCACTATACCTACTTTCAGTTGCTAAAAGTGATGTGTTTAAAAATAAAATAAAATAAAACATCACTCTAGTAGTAAGTAAGTTACGCAATAAGTCCGCGTGAGATCACAGTAAAGTAGACCACATCTTTATGAGGAATATCATCAAACACTTCTATTGTATACTGAATATCATGTACCTATCATTGATTGATGTTAAAAAGTTAACTAAGTATTATATTTGATTCACTGTGTATCGCTACACAGTGAGTCAAATAATTTTGATCGTGACTTTTTCTAAAAAAATAGTTATTTTAAAAAAATTGCACAATATTAGCGTAATGTGGGAACTTTACCTGGGAAAATTGCCGAAACAATTGCCGCTTTCAATCGGCATCATACATGTTGGGTCTGAAAATGAAATGAATAAGCATTAAAAAAATAGTAGTTATAAGTAGATGCAAGTTATATTACAAACAACTAGCTTTCGCGTGGAATTTTGTCTGTCACAGAAAAACAATATCGCGCGCGTATTTGCTCACCGTTTAGACCTACCCTGGACTACGACAAACATTTTAAAACCAAAATCAGCTCAATCGGCCCAGCCGTTCTCGAGTTTTAATCAGACTAACGAACATCAATTCATTTTTATTTATATTATAGATAGATTAAAAGTTAGTACCTACCTATTAAGGTAACGTTATACAAAAAAAATAAAAAAAAAACAATAATATTGGATTTTGCTGCACTTCTTGTCGCAGCCGATGTTGTCCAGTGTCCTGAAGTGGTGGTAGGGTAAGCTATACGTATTTGGGACGTGTATAAGAAGCACCTAACCTGAAAAGGGACTGTAGAAATTCAGCCTGTATAATTAGGCATTTAAATTGGCAACACACACTTGAAGAGCACTGTGTTATTTTTTGTTTTGTGTAAAACTTAAATATTAGTGTCTTCCACTTGATATGGCTGCCAAAGAATACCAAGTAAGTAATTATGTTGTTGTAAAGTAGTCTGGATGTTTGGACTAAAATAAAAATATTTCTTTCTTCCTTTCTAAATAGTATTTTTGAGACTTATTTGTTTTTTTTTTAAATATCAAGTGAAAAAAAGAGAGAGCTTTAAAAAATAAGTAAAGAAATTTTAATCCGCCATCTTCCGCATTGACACCTCACGTAACATAATCGTTAATTTTTTCGGGCGGTTCGAAGTTCGCCGGGTCAGCTAAAACCCGATCGCCGCTTTCGTCCCGTCCGTACCAGAGCGTCGATGTGACGTCACGACTGCCAGGTGCGCAGATTACTCGAACGGGTTGTAGTTAATAATAAAAAATATTAAAACACTCACTTTCCGCACTAACAGTGCTCAGCACAAGAACACACAACAGCAGTAGAATCTTCATGTTGCCCGAGTGACTCCTCCGATAATAGAACCAAAACATTTATAATGTGGCGCAAGATGATAACCTAAAGATATGCAACAAAACAATCATTTCTGCTATATTAACTAGCTTTTTCCCGCGGTTTTGCCCGCGTGTATATCGAACTGTCACAAAAAATTACAATACAGTCTAGGGACCAAACTATCCTATGTTTTTCCTGGTTCACAAAATCCGTTTTTAACAAAATCAAATCTTCAAAAAAAAATATTTTATTCAAGTTTGACCAGTATTTTGGCACACACCAGAATAGTGTTTATGTACCTATATGTCTATTTGTCTATCGACAATAATGCTGTTAAGTTTCATCAAAATCCGTTCAGTAGTGTTTGGGTGAAAGATTTACAAACAACCTAAAAAATCATCGGTAAATTCGTTAAAAAAAATTAGAGTGACTTTGGGTATAATTCAAAGACTTTTCAGTACATTTATTCAGTTTTATTATATAATAAGTTTATAATTTGACAGTGTATCTCTTATTATTATTATTATTAAATAGTTTATTGTTTTGCTGTGGGAGAGACATGCATGTTCTCCTACACTGTCCATAATATTCAAAGTTGTTGCCGTTGCCTTTACAACCACCATATATGAATTTGTGGCAGCCCTTCTCTTTGGTGTAGGCGAATCTGAAACATTCGAATCATAAAAGCGAATTACCACTCACTGATTAATGTCAAAATCTCAGAAACTATAACGCCTAAAAGCTTGAAATTTTGCAGGTAGGTTTCTTAGACATCCGCTAAGAACGAATTTTAAGAAACTCCACCCCTAAGGGGTAAAACGGGGCTCCCGCGTATGAAGTCACCACACTCCTTGCGAGTATTATTTTGACAATTTTATTTTGTAAGAACTAATTTCATCATCATCATCATTGCATCGTCAAGTGCTGAACATAGGCCCAATGATTTATAGATCGCCCGGTTGGTAGCATCCAGCGCCTTCATGCTAAAGCCCGGTCGCCGAGCACGTAGAATTTCGTCCAATGACCCCAAGCTACCCATCCTTATCGCTCGTGCGTAATAATATTGCTGTCACGACTGTGCGACGGGCGGCCGTAGTGACTAGTGAGTGTGCGGGTCATTAGACGAAATTCTACGTGCTCGGCGACGGGAATATACCTCCAACCCTCCAAGAACTAAACAACAAACACGAAACAAAATAAAATTTATAAAATCAGATTAGTATGAAAATAAAAATAAAAATTGATGATATCAATTTTCTGACTTCACCATACCTATATGCATATGTTAACATGGGCTAGTGTCGGCTCATATACTCATTTACCTAACACCCTGTAAACATATAATATTTTATGTATTATATTGGTGTAATTTTTTGTAGCTTTTTAGCACCGCCTACTCAAATTCTCTGTTTTGCTCAAGGTCAGCTGGGAGAGAATGCCATATGGCATTAAGCTCGCCTTTTTGTACGGATCATTCTTATGTGTGTGCAATAAAGTCTTTAAAAAATATAAATCACTACAAAATTTAAAATCGACACCAAAAAAGTGCACTAACATAAAATTAGAAATCTTGCCTTTACCTGGGAACGTGCCTTTTACACGGGCCAGTTTTAACTGGCTGTAAGCATTTATTGTATCCTGTAAATGAAATACACATGGTTACATTGATTTCTGAACGTGTCCTGTTTAACATTAATTTGACAATAGCTTCGGTAAATTACATAATGTGTGACGTGAAGTGCCAAATTGCGGAAAATGGCGTAGGAAATACCTACCTAATTTAAATAATAAACAGTAATTTAAGAGAACATTTTTTACTAACTTTTTTGAAAATATTGTATAACCTATGTTCAGCAGATTGTTTTTTTGATTCTAACGGTGAAAGAATTTTTCAAATCGATCCAGTTCTTTCGGAGCCCATTTCCTCCAAACAAACAATCAAAATCTTTGCTCTTTATAATATTAGTAAACATTTTTTTTAATATTCCAGTTTTATTAAAATAAACAGATATTTTACAACAAACACAAACTTAACTAAAAAATAATAAAAAAATAAAAACTTATTGTTTTCTGCAAAATAAAAAGAGTGTCCGCGAGGCAAAGATGCGAGGATCCTGGCTGCATTTTCCTCGCTGGATACTAAGCCTTTCATATTTTCCGAAATAATAATTAACTATTAAATACGGGATTAAAAATATTTTTATACATTATTATTTATACTAATTCTTAATTTTTAACTATTTTTTAAAATATTATTTTTTTACAGTTTTTTGATACTAATTTCAACAAAGTGACCAAAAAAGTTACAGTGACCACAAACGGGGTCTTTACCCTACGACCATGTTTTTGGCGGTTATTCTTATGACAGAATAAACTCATTCGGGCATCAGGCTAGAAAACGGGACTATTCCCAGCTCTCGTTCCCACCGCTGCAACTCCTGTGCAGCCAGGATCTACAACTTGACCGCCAATAAAAACCAGTGAAGGTCAAGTTTGTCCCGGGGGAAAGTTAAACTGTCATTGGACCCGCAACGAAATTAATCAGAAGAACATAGGAGGAGTTCGAAATTAAGGTTCGACTTTTCAGAAGTTAGTACCTAATAGGTAATCCAAATCGAACGGAAATCAACTGTCAAAATTCATTATGTTTTATTTAATTAATTACTATTAAATATGTTTTTGGTCGAAATATCTACGGATTTCGATGTGTGCAAAGGAGTGGTAATTTTACATTTTCATATGTAAACAATATTAAAGTGTAGTAACTAGGTACCTACTCTCGTCAAAAATTATGGATATTTTGATCGAAAACAGATTCAAAGACAGTTGAAATCCGGATTTGGACAAGGATTGATAAATATGGGAAACGTGTTAGAGATAAATAACTACAAAATTAACTCACTTTGAGCGTACACTGTGGCCAACACAACAACAAATAAAAGTAGTAGAACCTTCATTTTGTATGGATCTGTGGTACACCGATGCGTTTGTGGTACTAAAGGCGGCAAACATTTCACTTATATTAACTTAGTTGGTACATATCACAGATAATATAATACTAGTACAGATGCATCATCCCATACTCGAAATGTGGCCGACCTAAGTCTTGAAACTGCTCGGGCCCGCGTGGTTTCCTAGTGGTGATAACAGATCGCGCTAGTGTGCCGCAGCGGACTTGACCGTCCCGCGGTTTGCGACCCGCTAATGCTTTCTATTCTAGCAACTTGAGCGGAGTATTTATTTGGCGTGCTATATCAAAAGATGGCGCTAAAGCCAATAAGTTTACTGCTTTGTTTATGAAGGCATGTAACTAAGCAAAAAACAGATTAGAGACGCTATTGAAAATTTCGACACGGTATAATAATGTCCATGTAGCAGAACGATCACAGCCGACGCTCAATATCCAGCACAGTGGGTTCGTATCCCGCTACAAATTATCATCATAAAACTCCATTTTGTTTTATTTTATTAGGTATATAAAACAGGAAAATATCGAAACATGCAGTAATAAAGGTTGATATCAATAAAAAAATATAATGAGGTCCTTACAAACAATGCTCAATGAATTCAATCCTTTTGTCAAAGTATACAAAAAGGTGGCTGCAATTTTAGCAGAAGAGGAATTAAAAGCAGTCTCAGGAAATCGACCCAAATATTCGGTATCAATGCAGATTTATAAACATAAATCTCTGGATTTGCGTCGGTATAACACACCATCAAATAATGAGGTAGCGGTCATCTTTGTAGGAGAAAACGGTGAACCTCCATTAAATATAGACTTCTCTGTACAAGAATATTCTCAACATTTAACTACACTCAAATCAACCAGTCCCAATATTGACCCTTTAACCTTTCCTCTACTTTTTCCTAATGGAGAACTCGGATGGCATGAAAATCTTCAACACAGAGAAGAGAGTCGAACTGCTCGAAGCCGTCTTACAATGTTACAATTTTATCAGTATAGACTTCCTGTTCGTAAAAATTTTAGCCCATTATTTTACGCTGAAAAACGTGATTTTCATATAAAAAATCACGCGTGCGGACGCGTTGTCAGTGTGAAGTGCCGCGCGTGTTTTCTATACAAACTGAGGTACTTGCATACAATGATTAAATCTGTCGCCCCGCGCTCCGCGGCGGAGCGCGGCGCAGTGTGATAACCGCCTTAATAAGAGTTATTTACATAACCTATATTAACGATTGAATTTGATTGTTTTGTTAATTTGTCTTAGTTTATTTTGACTGGTGATTTAAAATAAAAATATTTTGTGTAAAAACTTTTGCAGTTTTTATTTACCATATTTATTAAACACAACTAACGAAGCTATATGAATGTATATTTAATATTCTTTGAGAACCGATGACTACAGAAACATCTATCTACATTTTGCACCTAGAATTGTGTATTATGAGTCAAATTTCACCCGAGCGAAGCCGGGTTTTCATCTAGTTAAATTATATTCTATTAAGTGTTAGAATGATAAAGTTGTTAGGTTTCAAAATAAATACACTGGTCATCACAAAAATCGGCCCACCTACGTTTCACCCACAATCATGGTGCCCCCACAAAATTGGTGTTATTTGAAAGCCCAATAAATATCCTTAAAGAAAAACACATTTAATTTCCTAATAAACGATTAACATATACAATAAATGTGACTTGAAAAGCTTAAAAAAATACCTCACTTTGGGCTCACCTCTGGGATCAATTAGACCAATTTTTATGGTTATAAAACCAAATAATGATCTCACGTGTCCTCTTTAACAGATGGATAGCGATTAATCCCAACTTAACAGTTTTATAGCCATAAAAGTTGGCTCAAGTGTAACTACCTATTTTTTGAAGAAGTGACTCTGGATTCTTCTACAGACACATTTTTGGGGCAAAAACCTTTCCTTTAATGAAATGAAGTTTAGAACTAGGCTTTTAAATGGTAATATAGTATAGTAATATTGGTGGGAAGTGGGGATGCATACGTTTGAAAGTGCTTGTCGCGGGTGGGTCGATTTATATGATGACCAGTCATTTTTGTTCCATATTTATTAGTGAGCAGAGATATAAAATGAAATAATTAAAACTACTAAATAATTAGATTAAATTGTAGAATAAATTTAGTC